AAACCACCAGGACTGTGAATCCAGGGGGAGGGAACTGCCTTTTTGCAGCTCACAGCCAAGTAACTAAATCTCAAAGATGTGCACTATTAGGGCATTTCTTTACAAGTCTTTTCTTATATAGGAGTAGTAAATGGGGTTTTGAAGTTCTTATCTCATTCACAGAGGACTATTAGACAGCCTTTGTCTAATCTTTTTGGAACTGGCTTTAGATATTTCCCTCTAAAAGGGGACATGCTGGATGCCTTTCCAACATGGAATTGATTTTTCTTTTCCAGTTTGGGAGTGATTCTCTTGTGTCCTCTGCTAAAGATGGAAAGTGTGCTGTTTATGAGGCAGACAGTTTTGGAATGGTGTTTGTTGTTAACATCTATCTGTTGTCTGTAACCCAATTTTTGCCACTTCTTGCTCTATAACCTTGTGAAAATTTTCCACTTTTTATCCCAGTAGTTTCAGCGCTTTGCTGTTGTTTGCTGGGGTTTATAGATAACTCCATTGAAGCTACAACTGATAAAATCATTCATCTTTATTACTCCTTTATTACTCCAGGTCTCACTATTAGCAAGTGTTCCTTTGGCCTCCCATGGCCCTCTGTGTCCATTTTTTCTTTTCTTTCCTTTCACTGTTCCATACAGACGTGTCCTCAACCAGTGTCTCCAGTCTCTGTGTACCTTTGTGAGCCTGTCTGCTCAGTCCTTCTGAGGACAACAGCCTCTACCCTTTTCCCTCTCCTGGTGACCATTTCTGTGACTATTATTCTTTCCCTATTCTGTTCCTTTGTATGTCCAGCCTTTCTCAGATTTGGTTATCCACCGAGTTCCCTTTTGACATTCTCCTTCCAACAGGTATGACATGTTCAGAACTGTTATGCTAACAGTAGATGCACGTTTGTATCAACGTAGCTTTTCTTTATGTTAAAAAGCATATTTTCCCTACTTTCCCTCCTTACAGTTAATTATCTTCCTTTATTAAAATGGTTGACAATGCTCACATCTGATGATGTGAGCAGACTTTAAAAAAAGCAGCAAAATTTCATGGCAGCTGGAGCCTTTATTTGTTCCTTTGAAGTGTCTGTTATTCCATTTAGTACTAAAATAACAAATATGTTAGTGTTTCCAATAATTATTACTTTTTTAACAAATAGTTGTTAAAATTTAGACTGTATCTTCAACAGATGACCCTTCTTAGAATGTGAATGCCCATGTGTTTGAGAAATGCCACATTGTAAACTTTTTTACTTAATTATGTCTGAAACATGGAGAGAAATGAAATGGTTTATGTGACTAAAAGTCAAATTTGGTGTAAAAAACTTATCACATTTGATTTTTTTTTTCACATTAGAGAAGAAAGATCAACCTTTGCTGTTGTAAAATGTGCTTCTGTTGACAGGTTGTTTTGTGTACTCTTACTTGATATTTCTGATATTAGCAATAGTGGTATCTCAGCTGTTGCATCCTTTCACTGTCCTCTTCTAAAACCATCATAGTCACTGTTCTGTCCCTTCATGGAGGTGCATTTCAAACTCATGTGTATGCACCTTTATGTTTGAATTTCTGTGCTTAACTTATGTTCTTTATTTAGAAAAGGCTGATGAATGATTGTTGTACTTTTTGTGATACTTTGTGTGAGATCAGAGCCTCTTCTCTGCCTCTGCTGACATCTGGGGCTGGCCTGTCCTGTGTCTGTGAATTTGGCTTGTGGTGTCAAACATTGCATTTCTTTTTAGCATTGTGTATAACTTCACATGTGTCACAGAACTGAGATAACCAAACAGTTCTGATAAGCGTTAATTTTGGTTTTTCAAAGGCATTAATGTTTAAATATTAATTTTTTTTAAGAAATACTTAGAAATGTTTCAGAACTTTCCTGTTTGTGCTTAGAAGCGTGAAAATATAGAGTGCTGGAGAGTGCAAATGCATTTTATGTGCTACAGATCTGTTTAAATATTTATGTTGGAGGAAAACTGACATAATGCTGTGATACTTATCGGTTTTTCATTGTCTGTATCTCTGATATTTTTCTATGTCAGAAGAAACTTAAAAACAAGGAAAACCACCTTTCTATGAGTAAATGGGATTAGACAACCAAATATTGATGACTATTAACAGTCATTAATACGTTTTGTCTGGTTGTTTTTAAGCATAAATATCACATGGAGGTGCCCAGAAGTGTTGCATATATTGCATGTTTGAAATTAGATATTTGGCAAGGCATTGTTCACTTTGCAATTAATTAAAAATTTATTACAGTGAACTTTTTTAATTTTGCAAGACTGTAAATTAAAAGACAAACCGCGAGGTTATGACATCAACTTTTTTGGCCATGATGGAGTGAAAAACCAGGTGTTTGTGTGGTTGACTCTTCTGAACTTGATATAAGAAATTGTTAATTTGTGTTTTTCCCTGGCAGTGTCTGTAGTGATGCTGTCTGTGTACAGTCAACAGTTATCCTGATGTTCCTGGTTCAGGATACTCCGGGTTCCTGGGTTAGGACCAAAGGAATGTGGAAGAACTGTTTATGAAGAACTTAAACAGGAGAGTGTAGTTCACTCTGCTTTCAGCCAGCTTTGTGTCTCAAATTTTTGTTTTATCCAGATAACATCATTGCTGAACTGTTTAAAGGTCCAGCCTACTCTTCAGCTTAATTTATTTGTGGCACAGGGTTCACTTACTAATGGTACATTTTAGCATTATCACCTCCAGTCAGGTATATTGCTGCAGTCCCCGGAATTCTGCTCAAGATGGATCAGATGCTCTCAGTCCTGGATATGTGATGTAGTCTTGCTTTTAACCGCTGTGCTTGTTTATTTTTCTGTCATTTCCTGGAATTTTTTCAGAGTGCTGTTTAGAGCACCTTTTGGTGTTTTCATGACTTCTCCCAAAATGTCTTTCATACAAGGAAAGGGGATTTATTTGTTTTTTGACATTTTATGAATGTGAGAAAATTGTTACCGAATTCTTTCTCAGGGCATGGTTTAGTGTTACTCTTAACTGTTTTTCTCAAGGCTACTAAGTGTTCCTGGTATAATTTCTGTTGAATTTGCTTTATGAAGTAATTTCTGCTTTTGCATACTCAAGTATTACTAATAATGCTCAGCCCTATCCTTTTCCAGTCTGTGGCATGAAGGAGCCATACCTAATACTTGGTAGTGATCATAGTATTTGTCAGGAATTAAAGGCATCTCTTTCAGCTGCATCTGTAAGAATAGGTGCTTCTAAGGTGCACATAACAGATTGGAAGAAATGTGGGTGAAGCCTTTTGAAGGTGATGTGTGTAATGTTGTGAAATGAGTCAGGACTACCACTGTATGGTTCAAAGGCATATCCAGTTGTGGAGTTTTCTTCCAGAATACACAGTAATATGAAACATTAGGTAAATGTTCAGTATTGGGGAGTTCTGTTGCCTCTTTATGTAAAAAGCATTTCTGTACTACTATCAACATGATCTTGAGATGTGGTCCTAAATCTTCTTTATATCATGTCGTTGAAAAGCATCAGCTGTGCTTGTAATCTCCTTTGAAGGAATATCTTAGAATTTTGAAACACATAATTATGAATACTTAAAGACTGTTCTAAGTATCCTTTGGTTGCTAGCAATAACAAAGTCTTGTTCTTGAGAGTATTGAGAGGGGAGCAAGGTGTAAAGCAACTTTTTGCTGTTGTCATTGTGGCTTTGCTTTGACTTCTCTTCACTGTGGCATTAGTGCTGAATGTGTCTGAGTGATGACACTCATGCTCATGTACCGCTTAATTTTAGTATAACCCATTCTTGGAATTCTCTGTCAGCCATCAGGTGTTGCTCTTCTTTCATACTGAGATACTGCTGCAAGTTGGGAAATACTTTGGAATACTTTATAAAGCAAAAATACCGGAAGATTTTTTTTTTAAAAAAACTTTTAGATTCCAAATGAGAAAGAAACTTTTACCTTCTTGTAAGAGATAATATCTATTCTTGTCTTGGAAACATGGAAGTGTGAGGGTAATAAAATGTTCCACACTTGATTTACTACTTCTTCTACAGAAACAGTATTTGCTGCTAACTTATTTTCAATTCACTGAGAATTGTTTGATCTCCTAGGATGGATTTCATTTGGTAGAACAAACTTTTATACTTACTTTTGCTCATGGGCTTTAATCTACCTACCATGTAAGGATATACTGTCTGTGTACTAACAGAGGAATACTCAGCACTTCACCAGTTTGTTTCAGAAGTTTGTGGAGATGCTTTAAAAAATAAAGAAAAAAAGGCACAATCTTTTCACCCCTGGTTGACCTGTGGCCTCCACCATTTGAGGCTAATAAAAATATTTTCATTGATAAATCCCAGAGTTCTTTGAGTATTGATCTTGCTGTTCTGTAGGTGGGAGCAGGGGGGGATGTTCAGAGTTTAAAGCTGAAAACTAATCAAACAAACATCAGTCAGTTGGGTGTCCAAGGCAGGAGGAACCCTGTCAGTGCTGAATGGTAGTAAGGCTGAGGAGCATTTATCTAAAGGTCGTGCACTACAGAATCACTGTGATGAAGTAAATGTGGGCAAAACTCTGCTGAAATGGATATAGATGAGTTTTCCTAATGCAATATTCAAATGTATTTTGAGGTAAAAGAGAGAAGAGACAGAATTTAGAGGTTCTGTGGGGAGTTTTAAGGAGTACAGGTGTTTAATTTTTGTGCCTGTCTATACATAAAAATGTGATTATAAACGCAAACATTTTAAACTTTCCTTATGAAACTATTCAGAATGCTCTTCTTGTTTCTTAGTAACCTCTCCTGTTACTTCTCAAAAGTAGGAAGAATGTATTCATAGCTTGGGCATTCTGTTTGTGTATCAATATGCTGGCAGTCACAAACCCAAGGAGGTTATCAGCTTTCAGGATGTGTTTTGTGTAAGTCTACTGCAAAATTAAAAAGGCTGATTTGAAAGCACACTTGCATTGTGAGTTTCAAAATTTGTGAAAGAAAAGTGTTATGGAGGTTTAAAATTATTTTTTAAAATGTCCACAAGCATACCATAATTATACCTTGTTTCCTCCACAGGCATTTGTAAAGGATGTGCATGAAGATTCAATAACAGTTTCGTTTGAAAACAAGTAAGTGTATTGCTGGTGTTATACCTACAAATGATAGAGTATCAACCTTGCATTTGATTAACCTAAATGTGACTTTGAGTAGCATTTTTTAGATACACTAAACTTGCTGTTTGGCTGTTTTAGAATTAGGTTCAGTATCTACTATTTTGTGACATTTCTGTATAAATGGCTTTAATGGTTTAAATACTTCTAAGTACAAAACTGGGAAAATAAGCATGTTCTTGAATTTACATGATGACCACCCATGTTTGAATAAGTCAGCAGTTGTCCCATGATTGTCTCTGTCTCACATGAATGTCTTATTTTAGTTTTAGGAGATTGCATTATTACAAAAATTGTTCTATAGATAAGTGAGGAATAGCAGATTTCCTGATAAATCAAATTTATCCAATCTCTATTAAAGAAACTGAAAATTAAAACTTTATTCAGACTGAATCCTGATCAAGTTTTCATAATCTGTGGTAGAAACAAAGAAAAAGAACATACAGGCTTGTTTTGAAGGAAATGTCCAAATGTGTTATGGAATGTTTAACCTATGTTTCTAATGGTGGTATTAAGACCTATTTAATTGTAAATAGAGTAAAAACTGCTACTGGACGATTTCAAAAGACTGCAGGTGACATCAGGGATTCATTTAAGATGCTTAATGGTCACTTAGATGTATTTTTCTTATTATGTATACATTGGATCACATTAGTATGCACAGAAGGTCCACAAAGTTTAAAAAGTAAAATTAATGGGTTGCAGATGTTTCTGATTTCTGTTTATGAAGAAAATGAAAATGTTTAGACCATTCACTGTGTTTTTATTTGTAGCTGGCAACCAGAGAGACAAATACCATTCCATGATGTGAGGTTCCCCCCACCTGCAGGCTATAACAAAGACATCAATGAAAGCGATGAAGTAGAGGTGGGTATGTGTGTGTGCTCCAGCCACAACACTTGCTCTGACAAGTGAGAGAACTTGGTGTGAAAAATGTCAGCCAGGCCACTGGAAGGTTTGCTTCCGTGTTATGTGCTGTCACCTCCTTTGATTCCAAGTACTACATGAAACACAATGTCAAGCACATCATCAAAAGCAGATTTTGACAGTTGTGAACCCCACAAATTCCATGTACCAAAAGAAACCCATGTAAAATTCCATGTGCCTTGACCTCCATGCTGAGTTACAAACATGATCGCCGTTTCATTGGTTACAGATCAGTCCTTTATCAGAACTGAATTAATTTAGAAATAGATGCTGGACTGTAGTTCTTCAGCTGTAAGTTAATAATGTCTCTGTTAGTAAAACTTCATGCTGAATGAGATAATTTGCATTATACGTGTGTGTACATAAAATATAGAAATATATGTGTATATGTAAATAATTACGTGTATACATAGATTGGCTTTAAAGCAGCACATACCTAAAACCTCCTTATTTTATAAAATTATAAAATGTGTAATTAACTCAAAGAGAACTTTCAAGATTTGCATGTTTTGTAAGTTTATTTTCATTTGAAAGATAAGAAAATAGCAAAAGTTATTTGATATGAATGTGGCTGTTATCATATATGTGCTAAAGAAGTGTAGCTGTGTGTCCTCTCTTTCACCCGCTGGTCAGCAGACCTACACACAATTAAAAATACTGTTGATTAAATATTAACAGTTGTAGAAGCCTGAATTATCTCTCTTTGACTGTATGCAAGACTGAAGCAACTAATGCCAATAGATTGGATACAATATTATTTATCTGCACAATTTTGCATACATAACTTTATCTCCTGCTTGTATTTTCAATAGATAGGTCAGCTGTTACCTGTTTGCTGTGTGGTGCTTAGAGACTTTCTGTACTAATGTACTGTGTACTTTAGGTACTAATACATTCTACTGGATTTTGTTCCTGTAGAGTTCCTGATCATATTAGTGTCAGCTTTTGTGATGTCTTTTAAGAATGTAATGTATGTATTTTGTTTAGGTTTATTCCAGGGCAAATGAAAAAGAACCCTGCTGTTGGTGGTTGGCTAAAGTGAGAATGATAAAGGGTGAGGTAGGAATATGCATATATACATATATATTTTATATTTATTTATACTTTATTTTCCCATTGTTTTCTATTTATATATTGATGTGCATGGTGTTTTTAACTAATCTCTCTTCATCTCCCATCAGAGATTGGGACAGTTGCAATTACCATTAACCTCAACCTGAAAAGTCAACTTTGACTTGTGCAGTTAACAAAAGTCCCTTTTCCTTAATAGCATAATGCTCACTCTTGTTATAAAATGTGTGGCTTGGATGATTTTATTATTTTTATATCAGTTCTACGTAATAGAATATGCAGCCTGTGATGCTACATACAACGAAATCGTCACAATCGAGCGCTTGAGATCTGTGAACCCCAATAAACCCGCAACAAAAGATACTTTTCATAAAATCAAACTGGCAGTTCCCGAAGATTTAAGGCAAATGTGAGTACAAATGTTTCTTTATAGCTTTTTTCAAAATGTGGGTAACATTTGGAACCTGAGACAAGAAGGAATAAAGACACTTTTCACCGCTCCAAATTAATATTTTTAAATTTTCATGTAAGAATATAGAAAATACAAATGTTGACATGGTTATGCTTGAGAAATAGATAATTTTTTAAATTACTATTTAGTCTTGGAGGAGGAAATGCTTTCTTCAAGGTTTTAGGGTTTGTGTGTGGTATAAGTTAAGATTTTTATTCTTGCAGCTGTTCAGTGATATGCACAGATTAATGTGAACTTTTGTTGTCCATGTCAAATTAATATGTCGACTTTTGTTATTTGTTGATGGCTCTGGGAATAGCTGTACAGTAATTAAGCCTCCCAGAGTATGATACAGAACAGCTAGTTTTCTCCTAGAAGGTGGACATACTGTTCTCATGTAGATATAGCTCTGAAAGTCAGATTAATATTGACTCCCCTTGTTTACCTTCAGATCACTTTCTGCTTTTTTTGAGATGCATGTTATTGCTTCAGTGTGGATTAAACTATAAATTCAGGTTAGACTAAAAACTTCTGCAGTTGGTGTTGTAGTACACAAGTTCACAAAGTAGCAAGTGGACAGAGGAGGCCTGGAGAAGCCAAATGCAGCATGAGATGAGCACAAGAATGCTGCAGTGGTTACAATGAAATCACACGTACTGGTTCATGATGTGTTTGAAATTTTGGTCTTGCTGATTGTAATGACTGTAGCTTTTTAATGTAGTTTTGTTTAACTTGTCATTTCATAGATGTACGTACAGAAAATTTCTGAAATATTTCGAATCCTACTCACGTGAAAACAAATGAAAGAACAATCAGTAAAATAAATAATAAAGAATGAAATAGCACCTGCACTAAAAGGGAGAGCTTGGAGAATCTTTATTTACATTCTTTGTGTTAAGGAATTAATCTTTTTGACTGTTAACCAAAAATGCAGTGGTTATTATTTTTAACTCTGTAGCATTTTTATTCCTAGGTGTGCCAAAGAATCTGCACATAAGGATTTCAAAAAGGCAGTTGGAGCTTTTTCTGTAACATATGATTCTGAAAACCACCAGCTTATTATTTTGGTAAGTACAAATATCTTACTGTACCATTGGCAGTGGTTTCTTTCAAGAGTTCATAAGGAACCCACTTTGCTTTATTACTAATTACTGTTTTCTTTATCACTAATTTAGTCAATCAACGACGTAACAACGAAGCGGGCAAACATGCTGATTGATATGCACTTTCGAAGTCTTCGTACCAAGTTATCCCTGATACTGAGAAATGAAGAAGCCAGCAAACAGCTGGAGGTATGATGGTTGTTTTCCCTGAAGTCATTGGAGTAAAACAGATGATAAAGAAAACCTTCATGCGTTTCTTAGCTGGCAGGACTTGCACTGGGGTGAGATAACAGTGATACTGGAGGTGTGAAACAAAAGGCAGGTGGAGGTGTCATCCAGCATTGACAGTTATAGGGCCTGTTCTTGCAAAGGCTCATTTTTATCAGCAGGATTTTGAGGGGGGGGTAAATACAAGTGCATAGGCACATGTACACATACATTTTTTTCATAGTTTGAAACAGAAAATAATTAGCCATGATTGCATGAGTAGTGCCACCTATTTGATAGCTTTAAAAATAGATAGTGAATATGTCATAGTAGTGACGTGGACTAGAACTGGATCTAGCAAAATAACATAGTGAGACTGGTGTTGGTAGAGTGTACGAAGGGGTAGGTTCATCTATAGATAAAATGTTAGGAAATAATCTACAGCAGATACAGCTTCTGATATTCCTGTGACTGGAGAGTGGGTGTTGACTGGCAAGAAGCTTGAGTCATACTTGTCCATGGGTTAAAAAAAAAAAAAAGGAGTAGGCTAGGAAATAAGGGGTTCTTTATACATCAGAATTAACACTTCTTTATGATTTTTCTCCTATCTACAAATCAGATAAAATAACATTTCTAAAACCTTTTTAGATTCACTTTCAAAAACCAGAGGTACCACTCAAACTACTGTAATTCAGTTTTATATGGGTGTACAGCAACAGTGTTACTTCAGACCCAGGTTTCATCCCCCCCCTCCATCCCAAGGGTTACATCTGTTTGGTTTTAGTGTGAAGTGGGATGTCATGTAGTAGTTCAGGCCTCTTGTATCCAGTGAGTGTACTCACTGTTACAAGAAATTCTCAGTTCTGTTGTCCTCTTCTTAGTCTCCTGATTTCTGTGTTTCAGACCCAAGTTTGTTTGGTCTTGATTTTTCTTAATATTGGGAAAGGTCCAATTTTTCCTCATTGGTGTTGCTTATTGAGCACCCCACTGTAGCTCTTCAGTAATCATTCTTCTTTATCTTCCTGCAGAACTGACAATTGTGTGGGCAGTTTACCTCTTGAAGTGCAAAGTATTATTTTGGAGGTGGGAAGAACAACAGCCTCTTTAGAGCTAATTCTCTTTACATGCCCCCACAAGTGCATGCACCAACAACTGTTGTCATTCCCAAACTAATCTTGAATTCTTTTTGTCATTGTAACACTGAACCTTTCTGCTGCTGTGAAGGTCTCGAACTCTATTTGGTTCTCACTAGAAAACCATTATTGAACTTCAGCTTCTACCTAAGCAGTGCTTGAATGAAGGTTGTGAGACAAATATATACAGTTAAAATGTACGTGACAAAAGTTGGCTGATATTTTTTCATTTTGGCATTTGTGTTTCTTGTAGATAGAATAAATATAAAACTAATTTCATCCAAAGCTGAAAAGAAAAGCTTCAGATAGTAGAAATCATAGTCGTGATTTCTATTGAGACACAGACATAACAACAGACTGCACATGTCCATCTGCAGAAAAAATATTTAGTGAACACTTTAGGCTTTACTGCATTATTAATAACAGTTCACTGTTTCCATCTAGTAGACCTTTTTCTGTGTCTCGTACTCACTGAACATTAAAAGTCTGACACTTTTTTTCTTCTGGCTGTTTTACCTTTCCTGCTTTCTGAGTCATTATCACTAGACCAGCTCCTTTTGTTCCATTGGTGATCTTTTTCTTTTTCTGTTGTACCTTTTTTCTGCATATTGGCTTCTTGACTTGCACGGCTCTAATTCTCAAATGTGGCTTTTAGAGCATCAAGTAAAATAACTGATTACTTTTTGTTTACATTCTTTCCCAGTGAGTCTGACTTAGTTCTTTTTGTTGTTTGGTTTGGGGTTTTTTTCACATACTAAAAAGTCTGAATTTAAAAGTGTTCTGCATTCTGGTTTGCATTTCATTATATCTAAATAGAATTCAGTCATGGCTGCTGTGTAGTTATTAATATGCTATATGCACAGGTTTTTTTCTTATTAATGTGTTGGAAGAAACTAGAATACAGAATTTCCGATGTTTAAATAAAACACCTTGTAATACATCACTTACAGAAAAGCTAATGATATTTTTAGTGCAAGCACTATAACTATGCTCTGACTGTCATAACCAAGGTCCCCAGTGATGATGCAGTTTCATCTTTTTTTATGTATCATAGACAGTTGTGTTAACAACTGATCGTTGTCTTGATCATCCTGTTCTCTACTCTCATTTGACTGTCTGTAACAGATGTCAGCTAGTAAATCAGCATTTGGATTATCTGTTAGAATGTACAACTCTGAGCATTTAAAATAAGTTTAGCTTTACAATTTGTCTGTAATGTAGTTACTAAAGTGCTTGATAGAGCTCTGATTATATGAAGTATTTCATGACACTCAGATACTTACACCACTACTTCCTATAGCCAGTTCTTTGTGACAGTGGTTTAGCACTGGATATTTATCATCAGCTTTAACAGGAGCAGGTCAGAAAGCAGAACCAGTTGAGTTGGGAGAGAATAGGACTTGCTGTGGGCACTTCTTGGTGTTTTCTCAACCTCTGTAGGGTCTCATATTGCTGAGGTTACAGTGCTAATTTAAAGTGTGCTTGTGTATGTCTTACAGTAGTTATAGCTTTGATTGTGATGCAGGGACATGTATAGGATTATATATTTTGGGTTTTATCTTTTTTCTTCCTTGCAAAACACTCTTTCCTTAATAGATTATCACAGTTGGAAATTCTATCTTCCCTCAATGCATTAAACTATTGTTCTTGTGTTCTGTTATGCTCACGCTTGTGAGTTCTCAAACTGACCCTTCTGTCTTTGTGGAAATGTGATTTCTGGATGAAATTCTAAAGTTTTTGTTCTCTGAATTCAGGCAACTTACAATATTCAATATAAAGATATAATTGCAGTTATACCTTAATTTTTGTCTTATCATATATAGGCATGGATTCTTTATTTTACTTTTTTAAGTGCAGTAGATATGTACAGTTGCTCTGTTTTCTGTAGAACTTTTGTGTTAGTGATTGAGTTCTTTCTGTCTCCTGCCACCTGTTGAAATGGGTGCATTTTTTTAATCAGAAATCATAAAGTTTGCTTTGCTAAACAACACAGCATTTATTTTACTACCTTACATGAATGCTGTCTCACCTAGTAACACCTGATAGCTGTAGCTATTAAAGGGTAATTCAAAATACAGAGGTGTCAACACAGCTAGAGGCCACCCTTACGTTAATATTTAAAAGACTTCTGAAGGAGACTCTTCAGTGGTTTTGAAGAATGCATTAAAAGGATTGATGGAATAAAAAGCAGACTAAATACCTGACTGGAAAATGGGCTCAAAATTTGTTGCTGTGTCTCTCCAGTGTACTAACAATCAAAGTGAGCTGGCGTTCTGTTGTTCTTCAGAGTTCTAGGCAACTTGCATCACGGTTCCACGAACAGTTTGTTGTACGTGAAGACCTGATGGGTTTGGCCATTGGCACTCACGGTGCTAATATTCAGCAAGCCAGAAAAGTCCCTGGAGTGACTGCCATTGACCTTGATGAAGATACTTGTACATTCCATATTTATGGAGAGGTAAGTTCCCTTCTTTAGCCTTTCAGAAAATACCCAAAAGAAACAAAGAAAGAAACAAACAAGCAAAACAAAAAACCTGGGGAAAATGAATGTTATTCCTCTCATACACGTGTCTATTTTAGGATCAAGATGCGGTGAAAAAGGCAAGAAGTTACCTTGAATTTGCTGAAGATGTTATACAAGTTCCAAGAAATTTAGTAGGTATGTCAATTCTGGAGGCTAACTATGTGATAGGAAGGGAAAATGCCTTCTGAGAACTGCCTTAAACTAGAAGCAGCGTGCTGATGTTTAAATACAAGGTAGAATAGTTTCTGGATATTAATTTTTGTCACATGCAGAAAACGTTTTTGGCATCACTCTAAGCTTTTCTTGAAAGCTGTGATTGAAGGATGTGGCCTTTCCTCATTACTTCCCAAGCTGCTTAGCTTTCCTGCCATTTTTCAGACAGCAAGTTGTTTTGCTGAGGTTGGAAAGAACTAAAGTTTTCATTTTCTTTGTCTCAGACTAGAACGTCTGCTTCGTAAGATAAATGTGTGCATTACTGCCATTGGAGTACAATTTATTTCCATTTTTATCTTTGATTTCTTAGTGAATTATAAACTACCGTCAAATATCTCTACAAAGCTCAGTTTCAGAGAAGAGAATTTTACATCTGGCTCATATGGTATCTTTGGCTGTGTCAGAAAACTTCCATCAATTAAAATTTTGTAAATGAACTAAGTTTTGCTTTGTGCTCTACACAAAAAATAGTTACAACAAATGCTAGGGCATTGTAAAAACATTCTTTGGCTTTGGTTGGGTATGCATTTTAAACCAACCAAAGCAAAGCCAAATAAGCTGCAAGATAGTGAATATTTCTGTAATCAATACGTGTGACAAGTTAACACCCCAAGCTTACATAGACATTTTGGTTTATGGCTCATTAACTAAACCTGTGTTGTAGAGGATTTAAGTCATTTTGGACAAGTTCTTGCACTGATACTTAAATACTCTTGTCTAATTAGAGTATAGCAATACTCTGAGGATTGGGAGGAAACACTAAAAGTGGAATGCTCTGTATGTTCTTTCTGTAGGAAAAGTAATAGGAAAAAATGGAAAACTGATTCAAGAGATAGTGGACAAATCTGGCGTTGTAAGAGTGAGAATTGAGGCTGAAAATGATAAAAATATTCCACAAGAAGAGGTATGTTTTCAGTTAATATGATTTCTCTATGTATTAATTGGTTGTATTCTACTCAGTGATAAATTAAATTCTTCCTTGTATCTTCATAGTGGTAAGATAAAGTTTTGATTAAAGTGTGTTTTCTGATAGAGTCCATCTTATACTGTTAATGCTGAGAGGTGTTTTTATGTAAATTTGGCTTATCTGTGTTAGAAAAAAATGGTTTTTGAAGATTTTTGGTGATGTACCTTCTTAGAGATTTTATCTTACTCCTGTTGGAAGCAATGACACATTTTCCAGCATGTGCTAGGCTGTAAACATATATGAAACTTGTTTTCATTCACTAATCTACTTTGTGTTTGATCTCTTATGTTTTTACCTGGTTTAACTTTTTTTTTTAGTAATTTATGTTGTAATGAAAAACTTGTGCTTTTTCTTAAAACTCTTTTTTAAAAAAATATTACCTTGGTTCACAATAAATTGTAACCTAAAGAAAAACAAGCATGAACAATGTGAAAATCCAGGTTTGCCCAGGAAGGCTCTCAACCTGTAAAGGGAGTTAATGACGTCCTGAACTTCTTAATTTGAGGCACTTTATGTGGGGCTGCATCGAGGGGCAAAGTTGCAGGTTTGCAAAAAAACCCTCAAAGCACGAAGGTTTTAACATCTCAATGCAAGAAAAGATTCCCTGCAATTTCAAATGTGAAATGTGCTTAAAGAAAACTGAACTGCCTTTAGTTTACCTCAAAATCTGAACAGGTACCAGTTAAGAACCTGTGCTACCTTGGATAAGATATGGAATGTGTTTCTGGAGCCCTTGTGTTCTTGCTTGAGTAGTTCATCCTTTGTTTTATCACTGTGAATCTGTTACTGAGGACTCACAATCCAATTTCCATCTTTCTGTAAAGGGTGACTAAGCAATTAAATGAGGGGTTTTTACTATTTCACTAGTTTTACATCTACCTGAAAAGATGTTGTTGTATAAATTCCTATATCATAAAATAGAACTAGTTTAATAAGCAAGAGGCTGCTGCTCTTGCTGCAGGCAGTAGATTCACAGAAGGGTAAAAGAGCAAATACTCATGGCTGCAATTAGTATGTCAGGCTTTCTTTTTTGTCTTCTGACTTGAAAAGCCTTATTTGCTTACCTTTTTCTTTACAAAATGCAGCTTTTAAAGATTATCTTGAAAGCCTTTTTTCTTACCTGCCAAGCTCTGCATTCATACTTGTGTTTTACCTGGTAATGACATTTCTAACACTGGCATTGCTTGCACTGCCTCGTGTGTTAGTTGTGTCATACCAGGAGCATGGCAGAAACCTGGCATCACATCTGGGCAGGTAAGAGTTAGTTGCTGTAAGTTGAATGCAGGTTTATTTCAACTAAGAAATACACATCATCTCCCCATGTGTGAACTTGGATATTGGAGCCCTTCCTGTAGTAGAACAATAGTTCAGTTAAATTTTAATACAGCATTGGGGTTTTTTTAATGTGACTGAGATGTTAGAATACTGCCCATTAATTTCAGGTACAGTTTTATGCATCTCATAATTTTATAACACGATCTTTAAGTTTTTCGTATTTTTAAAATGAGATAGGTATTGTTTGAGATAGTAATATATATTAATTTTATCTCTAAATTTATTATGCATATAAGGTCTGTTCAGTATTCACCACTGCAGCCAAGCTGAAGATTGGTACTTTTGCTTTGATGACAAAAATAAGGTTCAATAAATAAGTACTTTGATGCTTTTATATGGCTGAAATTGTTTGACATGGTTACCAGCTCATATTCTTAATAGCTGGCATTGCTATACCTTTAATCCACTGCTAAAAGCAACAGCAAACATTTTCCTTAAATGCCTCTTTAAATCATTTGACTTGTGATCTTTTAATAATTGATACTGTGAGCTAGTTAAGGCCAGCTTAGTAGAAATTTCACTGTTCTTTATCAGATTGTATTAAATATTTATGAAACTTAAAATACCCCAGACAATAAAAGATTTCAGTCAACGATGCCTGTGGCTAAAGGACTTCTAATGAGTATGAAAGTTAGTATTGAGGTTTCTTAGGACTAGAGGACTGTGTATATATTTTTTTTCTTGTTACTTACATTAGACCTCACACATATGCATTAAGTCTTTTGTATGTAAAAGAAGGGGGGGGAGGGGGGGGAGAAAAACAAACAAGACCTAAAAAACTGAGACAAAATTACAGACTTGCCACTCTTGGGGAACCTTGGCATATCATGCTGTTGTTACTTCTTAAAACAGTTGTGTCTCAAATCATTTCACTTCTGCAGAAAACTTTCCTTTGGAATGCAGTCCTGCTTGGGTTGCCTAAGTTAATCTTTAAGTATTTTATCTCCAAATATCATCATTTCAGACACTAAATTTCCAGCTTTACATTTTCCGTCTGTTTGTTGAATTGTTTAACATGTTTGAAAGGTGAAAAAAATGTAAGTTAGAAATTGTTACCTGAAGTACTTACTCTTTCTTGAATATGTTTTGGTTTGCCTTTCACAAATGTAGAGATCCTCAAGAAGGATCAAGTTCTGTTTCATGACATGATGTTAATTTGATTCACTTTTTTAAAAGATCGAAGGTAGACTGAAAGGACCTGATGTGACAGTATAGATGTGACAGCAAAGGTGGTATTAATTTTGAAGGGAGGAAACATGGAGTGTTTTAAATTGACTGTTTTTCACTTCTTCAGAAAAATAAAAGTTGGCATTGTGATGCAAACGGTCTAAATTTCCTTGTGTAAAAAAGCTCTTTGCCTGAAGGGAGTCAGACTACATGATCTAATCAGTATCAGAATTTAAATAAACTGTTCTCTGATTTACATCTTAATTTATGCTTATCTGTGTTGTAAGACTTGTTTTCAAATTTTACAGTAATATGTTGGGTTCTCTTCAGAATTCGATGCCTAATCAATAACCATAGGACTCCTGTTACTGTGTTTTAGGGCATGGTGCCATTTGTGTTTGTGGGAACCAAGGATAGCATCACTAATGCAACTGTTCTTCTGGATTATCATCTTAATTATTTAAAGGTGAGGAAAACCATGCTGCTTTACCACTGATTTTTTTTTTTTTCTGTCGATACTTAACATGGTAGCAATGTGAGAACTAAAGTCTGTTTGGGCTCTGAGGCTGTTGAAAAATTGGGTTTATAACAAGTTTTCCATCTAAAAACAAAACGTTTTATTAAAAGAATAATTTATCTGAAAGGTAGGATGAAAAAAGCTTTTTTTCAGAATGCAAATTCCAGATAAATAAGGAAATAATCTGTCTCAAAAGTACTGCCAACTTTATATATGAGGAATAGCCAGTCCCTCATGGGGCTACAAAGCAGTGTTCTAGGCAGGATCTTATAGACTGTGGGCATTTCATGCAAAATCCCTAAACTGCTTTTTCTGTAGTGGATTGACATTTTATACTTGAGTATGTTTTGTAGGCAACTCAGCTTCATATGTTATGTTTGCCTCTTGGCTCCATGACTTCCCCAGCAGTTTGCAGTGCTTGATGCCTGTTGTATAGGGAGCAAAAAATATCCCACATTATTGCCTATAGTTCCTTTTGCCTGCGGTGGTTATGGCCCGGTGCCCTATCCCTTTCTATGAAACAATACTCTTACATCATAATTGTTTAATAACTTTGATATTTGTTGTGTGCTACGCCGTAAGAAGCTTGTGTTGGGATCTGAGTGCTTTTTCTCAATATGTGTTTTAAACAAACCTAAATTTGTAAAGTGTGTCACTGGGAGAATTGTATTGGTAGCAAACAGATTAGAAAGTCTTTTTGGTAAACAGTTTATTCTCAAAGCTGAGTTACTGTTTGAGTATTAAGTAGATGATTAGTTGCAATACTGAAGTGCTCTTTCTTCCTGAGAACACTCAGATGATTAAACAGTGGTTCCACATGACTTGCTGTGCTTGTGTTTGCGTAGGAAGTGGACCAGCTGCGTTTGGAAAGATTGCAGATTGATGAGCAGCTTCGGCAGATTGGAGCTACTTCCAGGCCCCCCCCCAGCCGCACGGACAAGGAGAAGGGCTACATGACCGACGACGGGCCCGGGCTCGGCCGCGGGAGTCGGCCTTACAGGAACCGGGGGCACAGCAGGCGTGGGCCAGGCTATGCTTCAGGTACGTGACTAGAGGGGCACCTAAAGTTTTCAGAGTAGCCTACTGCTCTCTTGATTTCATGAAAGAGACTGGACTAGGGAACAGAGCTGTTACAACAGAAATGCAGTTAATATCGAGTATTAATATTTGAGGATTAAATAAGGCTTCATGCTGTAGAAAACACTCAGAAGTGTAGTGCTCTCCTGTAATCTACACTTATGCACTTAGGCAGTTCCTGTCTCTTACAGCATGCTTATGTCTTCTATAGTATGGAGCATATGTAGTTATGCCCTAACTCTTTATTTATCTATATTTATCTTTATTTTATCTATATTTTGAACAATTTCCAACAGTAAAGCCTCAGTTTTCACTTAAGCCTGCGTGAGGTTGTCTTAATATAAATATTTATAGGTGAAAATACTGTGTAGCTCAATCTAAAAAAAAAAAACGTATTCTCATATTCAATTGAACTTTGATGTCTTTACTACAAGACCATAGTCACCAAAATAGTGTGTTCCTCTTTGAAACCTTGTATAATTCATTAATGAATAGTTTTCCGGGTTGTGCTTCTTCAGAGCAGTCTGTTACTTCATTATCCATGATGTAGGTCAGCTGGTGTTTGTCCTGACTGAAAGGCCTGCAGTGTGAGCTCTGTAAGACAGTCTTAGCTCACATTCTACATAATACAAAATTAATGTTTTTGTGCTGTTGACTGTTTTTAGAAGATCTGAACTCGCCTTGCTGATAATATTACGGGGGGAAAAAATGGGGAAAAGAACCAACTTTTGTTAGTGAAGGTGATCTGCTAACTGGAAAGATTATAATGGTCGTTTATTTTGGGTTTGATACATTTCTAGCATTCTAACTTTGTTCTCTGCTTTTGTAGTCTGTTACAGGCTGTTTCATGATGGAATTTTTTTTCTTTTCATAGATGAGTTGCAGTGGTGAGAGGAGACAGGACAGGTTATATTCATAACTTTCAGTTTCAGAAATATGGAGGAGTCTAGTCTATTAGACTTATGTTTTACTAGATTTATTACATTTTATAGTAGATTTAATAATCTATGGTAAGCTGATAACACCAAGTGACTCAGTGTGTGGCACACTTAACTATTTAGCCCTGAACACACAACTAACTTTTATCAGTGTATGTCTTGACTTTTTGAAGAAGTAACTTATATTATGCACCTTTCTGTGCTGTGTATGTTATAGAGGTTGGGAGGCAAAAAAAATCCCAAACCTGTTTATTAACAAAAAAAAAAAAAAGGAAGGAAAAATTCTAATATATACATTTTTGATTCTGCTATAGTAATTTCATGCTAAGCTACACTGGCATGTTTGGATTTTTTTCACCCTCTTAATAGGAACTAATTCTGAAGCATCAAATGCTTCTGAAACAGAATCTGATCACAGAGATGAACTGAGCGACTGGTCGGCGGCCCCGGCAGAGGAGGAGCGGGACAACTACCTGCGCAGGGGGGACGGGCGGAGACGTGGAGGGGGTGCACGAGGCCAAGGAGGGAGGGGGCGTGGAGGATTCAAAGGTAAATGTACACTTCGTTTTGGAAAAGGGGTGCCTGTCAGAATCCTTAAACAAACTCACTTCTGTCAGCCTCTTCTGTTGTCACCTGCTCCAACCTCCTGGGCATCCTGGTGACCCTCTCCTGAATTCTCTCCATGTTGTCAATCTTTTAAATTGAGTTTTTTGTTTCAGATGTGTTGAATGTTGAGCATAGAGGAATAATCCTTTTAGACCTCCTTTATTTTGGTATAGTTTTCTCCATCATTTGTTTTCCTAATCTGCCTCTTGCCTCAAGTTTGTAGGCTGTGCCTTCACACATGGACATCAAGGAATCAAGTTCTAGTTTATCACCAGATACAGAAAAGTATTTTATAATCTGTATTAGTCATTCAGCTGTCCATATTCTTATCTTCTTGTACTTTATTTGCATGCAATGGGATAAGATTGTAATGTATGTGTTCAGTGAAAAGGACCAGGCAAAACTAAGATGGAAGAACTTAAAAAATTTTTCTTGAATATAAATATATACATTAAGGTTATAAAACTTGATCATGTGATGGTTCATTATATTTATTTAGCTAAATACTTTAGCCTACAGCTCTACTTTTTTTCTTGAAATTTTTTTCAAAGTATGGGTGTTGCTTAATTTAATAAGGTCTTTTGAAAGAAGGTAGTGTGTAATTTAGGAAGCTCATAAGCCATTAGAAAAAATGTGAAGATGTTAAATCTTACTGAGGTTGATTGTGTACTTCTCTTCAACAGTTAATCATTTTGAGAAGTGGTTTTTCTTCAGTAGACAGTCTCTTTTAAACTGTGGTGGTTTTAAACACTGCAGTTTTGTCTACTTTATCACCTGAGAACATTTTCTTTAGCGATTTTTTGGCCCATCATTTAAGAACTGTTACATGAAAGTAATAATGTTCAGTATCGTAATATGTTAGTTTAATGTTCATGAGACAGAACATTTTGAAGTAATTCCCTACTGTGCTTGTGTAAAATTTAAGTGAAAAAGATCATGTATCCTTGTTGAACAACTCAGTTGATGAATTCTTCTTACAGGAAACGATGAACAGTCACGAACAGATAACCGCCAGCGTAACTCAAGAGAGGCAAAAGGGAGAACAGCAGACGGATCTCTTGAGGTAATTTTGCTCATATGGCAAGTCTGTACTGTTTAAAATTGCACAAGTGTCATATAGTAACATTAGAGTCTTCAAGGCTGTGGGTGACACAGTAACCTTGTGATTCCTTGTTCCTTAATTCCCTAATCAGATATATAAGAGTTATGTTACAAAATGACACAGATGCACAGGGATCTCAATATATCAGGTTGTGTAAAGATGCAACTTTGTAATGTTCACTTGGCTCTCTGTGTGGAGAAAAATTGATCACAAGTCCCAAGGATTTACTAACCAGCTTGATTTCAGTCTTTGTTCTTAGTAGCTTTTTGTTTTTAGCTTTTATTTCTTGCTGCATTGTGTATTGCTGTCTGTCTCTATGTACCCGAAGGAAGAAAATCTTTAACACTTCTTATTAAGTGTTGTAGCCAGAATCTTCAGAGTAAGAAAGATTAAACTTCAGAAGCTACCTTACTACTAAACAAAACATTTGCAATTGAAACTAGAAAGCAAGTTAAAAACATACATCAAGAAACCTTTCAAGTAATAGATTGAAATACCTTATAACTTTAAATATTTTACAACCTTTTACAAAGAGATTTCTACCTTTTTTTCAAATGTTTTCTTTCATAAAGTTATCAGGCTCATACTTTAGGTGTATATGTTACGTTTCCCCACATGGAAACAGTTCTTGTGTCAAATGATAACGTGCAAACTTTCTACTGTCTCTTGCTGCTTAGGATGAGTTATGTTGGGAGGAAGAAATAATGAGCAGCTGCAAACTGCTGCCTGCTCTGTGGTGTTCCCAGGAGTCATGGTTCAGTGGGAGATGGAGATGACTCTTGGTTTGGTTTTAGAAAACATCTTTAAGAAAGGGACAAAATGGAACAAGTGACCATATGCTTAGTATTCTGAGTGGGAGTGCTGAATCTTAAAGGTGTAGTAATTGAATATGCATCTGAAATGCAAACAATTAACATGGCAAAAAAATTATGGCCATACAAGTTTGGTACTTAATCAATAATTGACCTACAAAGTTTGAAGTAGAGAGTGAGGAACTGTGGTGCTGAAAAAAAAACCCTAAGGCACTTAAATTAAGGGATTTTTTTCTCCTGTTACTCTGAGATTTGGAGGAGATTATATTTTATAAGAAAATAAGCACTTGCATATTGTTGAAACCTGGCTAATCAAGTTGTAAAAGTCTTATTTCAAGGAATAAGTATTTACCCCCTTTACAAGCATAAAAATTTGCTTTCAACATGCTTTCTTGACATTTTTTTATGACCATTTAAAAAGGCTGCAGAAGTTTTTTGAATGTATTAAATGGAACTTTTTTCAGATTCAAAAAGGGATGGAGTAGATTTTTTTTTTTTGAGTGTTAGAAAAGCTGCCATGAAATGATACTATGTTTTTTGAGAGGCTTTTTGCATACCAAGAGTAGAAATTGTTGAAACTCTTGAATTCAACCAAGAGTTGAATTGTTTGAGGTCGAATGATGTTTCAAAGATGTATCTGATATTAGTCCTTCAACTTTTTCTTGCACAAGCACACTGGATTTTTTATTTTTTTTTTTAACTTTCAAGGCTGTGTAGATGTGAGGTTTTTTGTTTCAGGTGATTTTTTATTTAAGTCACAAGTATGTGGCATTTTTTAAGAGAAAAGAAGTTACACACTCCACTCCAGCTGGAGACATGTAACAAAGCCACGAGGGTATGGCACTATTTGCTCCTCCCGGATGGCCAAGGGGTGGAAGAGAGGAGAATGCTTTATATAACTCTGAATTGTTCCAGATCAGAATTGACTGCAATAATGAAAGGAGTGTCCACACTAAAACCTTACAGAATACCTCCAGTGAAGGCAGCCGGCTGCGCACGGGTAAAGACCGGAGCCAGAAGAAGGAGAAGACGGACAGCGCCGACGCTCCACAGCCGCTGGTGAACGGGGTCCCCTAAACTGCATAACTCTCAAGTCATATTTCCTATACTGTTTCAGTAATTCCTATTCCATGTTAGAGAAACTTGTTAGGCCAAAGACAAATAGTAGGCAAGATGGCGCAGGGCATGAAATGAACATATGTTCTCTGTTAGCCTTTTTTAACATCGACAGTATGCAGTTGTTTTCAGAAATAAGAAGTTATTCAAATATTTGCATAAAAATACCTGAACTTCCGAAAATCGCTTCCAAGTACATATTGCAGTTCAAACGATGAAAGATTCCTTTTTTTTTTGTTTGTTTGTTTTAAAAATACTGAGCTGTGCATTGGTAAACTTTCTGTTCAGTTGTACCATTTTAACACATCGGGTCAAATTCACTGCTCAATTTCAATTTTCAGAATAAATAGTGTTTGCAGTAATCAAATTGGCTTCTGTTTTCAATCTAACTTACCAGTTCTTCATGAAATGCTATGTCGTTTTATGTCCTGTGTCAGTTCACATTCTGGTCCACCTTTTTCAATATTTTGGTGGACCCTGAAATATGTGTGATGTAACAATTGTCATTTTCATTAGCAAAAAAGTTGTATGATCTGTGCCTTTTTTATATCTTGGCAGGTAGGAATATTATATTTGGATGCAGAAATCAGGGAAGATGAGTTGGTAACACTAAATGTAAAATATATGTAGCAATCCTTGTCAGACGTTAGTACTTTATAGACAAGTGCATGCTTTCCATAATTTTTTCCTTACATAAACATTCAGTTAGGCAGTTATAAGAATAGGAAATTTATTTTGCACTGAAGATTTGGCAAATAGTGTTATTGAAAAAGGGGTGTAATTTTTTTCTTTGTAGGCAGTACAGAAGCTTTTTTTTAAAAAAAAAAATTTAAAAAAAAAAAACCTTTCCATTGTGGAAAACTAAAAAATTCATTGTTACTGAGGGAACAAGTGTAACATGTTCACAAGCTAGTAATGTGTGCCTGCTATTTGGCCAGATGACCAGCCTAAAGCATTGATGGTTTTCATCCTCCTAAAATTTTTCAATTGCTTATTTTGATTTGGGGGCTATTTCAGGAGAGGTAGGAAAAAAGTCACCACGTGTAACGCCCTGGAAGGTGCAGATACAGGAGTCGGAGATGTCGGAGTTAGAAGGAAAGTTCATTGTACTCTGAGGTACAAGGTCCTAATTACCAGCCAATTTGAAAGTGTCACAGAATTTGATCCAAAGTACAGCTGTACACCAGGGAAGGGTGGGAAGTGGTGGGAGGAGCTGTGCTTTCCTTCATTTCTGATCACACATGAAACTTACTGGGCACAACTGCATAAGGACCTTCATTTTAATCCATTTTTATTCAGATTACTCCAGAAGGAGAGCCACTGTTTATGTACAGAATTGTACAAACTTGACCTTGCCTCTGATGTATTTTGTGAGTTTTTTGTTTCTTTGCTTTCTTCATTCTTTTTTTTCCTTGCATACAGGTGAGCATACTAAAACTGGCAACGAACTGCACATGATTTAACAAATATAAAAATGTCTTAAAAAGTATTGCCAAACATTAATGTTGATTTCTAGTTATTTATTTTGGGAATGTATAGTATTTGAAAACAGAAATTGGTACCTTGCACACATCATCTGTAAGCTGTTTGGTTTAAAATACTGTAGATAATTAACCAAGGTAGACTGACCTTGTAATGTAACTGCTCTTGGGCAATATTCTCTGTACATATTAGCTACAACAGATTGGATTTTATGTTGACATTTGTTTGGTTATAGTGCAATATATTTTGTATGCAAGCAGTTTCAATAAAGTTTGATCTTCCTCTGCTAACTGATGTTGATGCAATCCTTATGAATGATTGCTTTTAAAAATCTCAGCTTACAAAAAGTAGAAAAAAAGTATTTCTTTGTTTAGACTTTAACTGTAGCCGTTGTTTATTTACACATTTCAGAAAAGTCTCAAGTATTACCAGTTTGCAAAAATACAGCACATAATGCTCAAGAAGACACAGTTTCTGGAATGGTACAGTACCTGTTAAGTGGTTACACTACACACACTATTGCTCACATTCAGTGGTTGAGTTCACTAAGGTGCTAACTAGGTTAAATGTGAAATTACTACACTACAGTCTGACTAATTGGCTGCATTCCATTTTCAAGTGGATTTGGGGGTTATGACCTTTTTCAGTATTTGTGTGCTTGACATATATCCCTTTCAATTCATATTCCGGTGGTTTTAAATGTTATGAAATTTCAACAAATTAAACTGTGAATCTAAATGTACACTTTAATTTTGAGAAGTCATGTTGTTACAAAACTTGAAAGTGCAACAAATGTCTGATGCTGGAGTTCAGGTCCGTCCTATTGGTAACTATTATAAAGTATGGTCTAATAAATTAAAATATTTTTAAAATAAAGTTCTTTAAAAAGAGTGAGAGGTATTTGTGAATCATGCCAAAGTCTAAATTCAGTAGGGTTAAACTCAAAGCCTATGAATTAACAATTGATGTTTCCTTTCTTTACTGAATTCATTTTAATGATGGTGGGGAGTTAATATTTTCAGTTATTAAAACTCTATCAAGGAAAAAGATCTCTGCAGCTTTTTTTGAAACAGATAATCTTTCTGAGCACTCATGACTTCAAGAAGCAGCTAAGATTAGTTTCTTGAATACAGAAATTATTTCAATTTGTTACTGATGAGTTTTTCAGTCCTTCGTGTCTCGAATACCAAATATTGTGTATTGTGCTTTATTTCCACAATCCAGAAAGGCCATCAAGTAGTGTGGGTATGGTATTAAGTGTAGGTTCTACTTCTTCGTGGGGGCACTTACTGTGAAAAGAGAGATTATTTTCCTGAACTGCAGCACATCTCTCTGCAAAACCCTTTGGTATTGAGCAGTAAAAGGGAAAATATCAGCTTCCAGTGGGTATTCCTCAGTCACTTCAGGAACCCTGCTGTATGGTTCTGCTAAGTGCAATTCTGTATTAATCTGCAAGAGAAAAGATGGATCTCAAATGTTTTTATCCTCTGTATTGTTGAAGTTTTTGTCTCTTTCCAGGAAGAGCAAGACTTGCAGTTAAAACCCATGGTAAGGGGTGGAGGGAAATGTGTTACTGGTTCTGGTGGCTACTATTTGTTAAAAAGTGACAAGGCTGAATGTCTTTCCATAGTAGTGTGTCATAAGCTTGTTTTTGTCCAGTTGAACTTAACTGTACTTAGATTTTCATCCTGAAAGATGCCTCTCAAAGAATCTTTTCCAGACATATTTGCATCCATGAAAATGGGGGCCACTAGGACTTCTAATACCTTAACAGTGTAAGGCAGCTTTATGCTAAGAACAGTGAGGTCAGACCTGCTGAGTTTAGTGTTCTGAATAGATTCCAGCTTGATCAACAGTTTTCTTCCTGTCAGAGTTTCATAATTAGACTTAAGCACAGTGTGGATTTCACATCACATTTTTATGCTGTGATTTACAGCAACAGCTCTTTGACACCACAAGTCTTTGACAGAGGACTGTGGATCTTTTGCCTGCATCAGGGATGAATCTGTTTCTCTACTTCTGACAGTTGTTTTAAATGTATCACACATCTGTGCTTTCACAGTTGTGAAGGTCATTCATCTCGAGGAATTCAAGGTAGAGATAAATAATTGCTGCTCAACCACAAATGAGTCAGTTGCCATAATTACTTTTTTTATATTGTTTAAAAATTTCTTTACAATAGACTTCAAAGCAGTAATTTTTGTGTGCTTTGGGTACTGTATGGAAGTGGATAATAAGAAAGAGCAACAATCATAGGTAATTTTGGAATCGTAGGAATCTGGTGCGGATTCAATAGGACAAGATGTTTTCTTATATTTTTGCACTGAGTATAAGAAAGTGGTTTGCAATAAAAGCAGGTCATTTAAAGCAAAGATGAAGTCTGTATAAATGCTAAGAACTGACTTGCAGAAATGGGATAGCAAAGAATCATTTGGGGTGGTTTTTGGTTTGGTTGTGCTTTTTCAGCCAGTGGACTCAGGTTGAGCCTCAGGTGTAACAGCAAGGAGGGTCAGTAGTCCTAAATTTAATAAAATCAATCGAGTGTTCAGCTTAAAATGGTGGGACAATTTTCTCCAATTCTTAGCAACCTGAGAAGTCCCACATTACTGTAGCAGCAGTGCACCTCACTGTCTGCAGTGTTCAGTGAGGTAAATCAGCGTGGTAAATCTCAATTGCATGTAAATCATATGCTTCAGAAAATGAAGACTGACTGTTGTGTGTTAGATATTTTGAAGTATCTCCTCATTGTTACTGCTGAGAGTGGCTTATTGTTGCTTATTTTAATAAGCTAATGCTGCACACACATTAGGTGTCACCATTAGAGTCACCCTTTAACAACCACAGGTCCCTCAGCCTGTCTTTGCAGCAGAGCTGTTTATCTCTGATCATCTTCATGACCCTCCTCTGGGCAAGCTCCCAAAGGTTCACGTCCTTTAATCTGGGGGCTTGTGGTTTAACCTCATCTGGCAACTCAGTCCCCTCTCCTCCCTCTGCCCTCCCAGTGGGGATGAGAATTGGAGGGGGGGAAGGGTAAAAATCGTGGGTTAAGATAAGAATAGTTTATTAATTGAAAGAAAATAAAATACAATAATACTAATTGTAATGAAAAGGAGTGGGAGAAATGAAATCCAAGAGAAGCAAGTGGTGCACAGTGCAGTTGCTCACCCCACACTGAGCAATGCCCAACCCATCCCTGGGCAGTGATCGGCATCTCCCGGCCACCTCCCAGTTTATACACGGAGCATGATGCTCTATGGTGTGGAATATCCCTTTGGCCAGAGTGAGCCAGCATTCCTGGCCATGCTTCCTCCTGGTTCCTGGTGCACCTGCTCGCTGCCAGAGCATGGGAACTGAAAAGTCCTTGGCTGAGAGCAAGCACTGCTTAACATCTAAGCATCAGTGTGTTTTCAACGTTATTCCCATCCTAAATCCAAAACACAGCACTGTGCCAGCTACTAAGAAGAAATTGAACTATTCCCAGATGAAATGAGGGCAGATCTCCAGAGCTGGCTGCAGTATGCCCAGTGGGGTCTGATGAGAATAGAGCAGAGGGACAGAATCACCTCCCTCAGCCATGTTTCCTTTGATGCAGCCCAGGATATGTTTGGTTTTCTGGGTCTAAGAAATGCATGTTTCAAATCTGTGCTTCAAGTGTGCAAATATTTGGTGAACAATGGGATGATCCTGTTACCTAATTAATTCACCTTTCATGGGTCAGTGAGAAGCTCTAAATAAGCACTCTGACCAAACATTTTCTAGTTTGAGAGGAATGTGTTTTAATCTCCTGGTGCATCTGTTACCTGGTCTGCAAAATTAGGTGGTGTTTCTGTGTTGCACACTGGAGTGTGATTGTTAAAAGTATAAACTAGTTTTTAACTTGGTGAATTAGAAGACTGAGAGGCTTTCTAACAGTCTCTGGAGGGGCTGATTTTTCCCAAAACACATTCAGCTGTTTTGTGGCCCCTCTGTTGATCCATCCTGTTCCATCCATCTGAGCTGCTGGTGGTAACTGTGGGGAGCCCATTGTGATGTGCTTTGACTCCATGGTTGTCATGGTCCTGTGTAGCCAGTCTGCAGGTGCTGTGCTCAGGAGAGCTGCAAGTGTCCTGCTCCAGCAGGAGTGGAGAAAACAGCAAAAGAAGTAAGTAATGGCAAGAACAAGAATTTTCTCTTTATCTCCGTTGTTTTCTTTCTCCCTAAAAGCATTTTCCCACTTTGTCCTGAATGGTATTAGATTTTAATAGGTATCTTGGAAAAATGATTCCTGTCCTATTAAGAAATAATTTTGTGTTTAACTACCAAAGTAAAGTTTCTCCATGGGACAGAATTCCTCTCTATATGTGTGTATTCCTCTATGGCACAGGTATATCTGAGGGCAGGGAACCTCCTCATTGAGCACCAGGAGTGCTGAGAGAACTAACCCTTCAAAGGGCACTATCTGTGTGAAACACAGCCAGTCTTTTCTCTGTATAGCACTTCAAAAAATGGGATTCTCCCCTTATCAATACTAGAAAAATAGTGTCTAGATTTAAGGTGTCTTAACAACTAAGTGGTAATAATTGAAAAAAGACCTTTCAATCGAGGTTAAAAGAGGAGCAGCAGGCAAAGTGAAATACAGCATCTGGCAAAGCAGTCATCAGGGGTTGGCTGGGGGTACAAAACACAGCTTAAACCTGCTGTTAAATTACTATGAATGACTTGGGGATTTCTTACAATGTTTTTGTCCATAATATAGTTTTGAACCACCTTTTAAAATTGTTATCCAAAGCATATGTTCCAATTTTAAAAAGACTGAAGAACTCAACGAGCTACACCAGAATTCAGTCTTAAGCTTCCAGCAGTTTTTCATTCTTCAGTCCTGATTCTGCTCATTGAACCTGGATTAAAATTTTTAGCTAAAAATGATCCTTTTAAGTACCAGGTGTCCAGCTCTGGGACACTTCAGAGAGATGATTTTTTGGCTAGCCTCTGTTAACAAGATGCCTTCCTTTAAACTCTCTTTAGGTGAGTAATTTCTTCAAAATCATTTCTTGCCGAAATATATATGGATTCACTGGGTTTGGCCTCCTTTCTTGTAAAAAAAAAAAAAAAAAAAAAGGCAGTTCTCTGTGCAGCAATCAGCTGTCAGGTTTGTTCTAAGCCATAAATGTGAAGCTAAGACTAATAATTTTTTATGCATGACCCTGTTCCTGTTGTTGCTGTTGGTTTTATTGCAGCAATGCTGCCCATTGGCACCCATCGAGCGTGGGTCGTCATGGTCCTGATCCTGCTCTGTAGCATCCATTCACGTGAGT